AGAACTGTCTAATCCTTTAACTAATGAATCCCTAGGATTACTGTCGCTACGTCCACTTAATACGTATGTTATAAGTTCCTACTTAGAACAAATTCACAAAGACATAGCATCCATATAGAATCAGATAATGTCGTAATTCTAAATCGATAAGTTTAAAATAATCTACTAGGAACGGTAATACCAATAGAATGTGGAATGACTCTATTTGATTCGATTTCTTTTAATCCGGAGTTAAACTTCCGTTCTCGTTAAGTCTAAACCCCTGCGAGATACGAATATTTCTTTCGAATCCCTCAATAATGTAATTTCCGCTCGTTGTGACTCGAACTATTGATAAAAAATGATAGAAATTAATTTTTCACATCATTTTATAAAGATATATCTATAAAAGCTGCCCTATGTATATAAGCAAAACTACTACAAAAGAAAATTTACACAAATTGAATAATATAATTATTACGTTTTCCTAGACGGATTATTATTGACCACAGTAAAGCTGTGGTCAATAATAATTTTCTACAATGAACTATAAACAAAGCAGAAATATACAACATAATAGTACAAATAACACTAGTACTTTAAAAGTGGTATTAGTCGTATTACCATTTACTAGTTCCTTACAAGCTTGCTGATGATGTTATCGACAGTTAACTGTAAATAATAAAAAATAAAAATATAAATTTCTTTGCAACCTTCCGCTAAATACAATGATGTGTCTTACCTGGATTGAAGAGCACCTCCCGCCCTCCATCAATTGCATGCACTAACTCCGTCACCATTAGTCCCAGCACCACTACTCCCAACACCACTATTCCAGGTAAGACACACCAACGACGATAATATTAGCGGTCAGCCGCCGTAGAGTCTACATTACCTGAAGATGCCTCGTGTAGAGGCGTAACACGTGTCGTATTATCGTCGATGGTGTGTCTTACCTGGAATAGTGGTGTTGTGAGTAGTGGTTCTGGGACTAGTGGTGACGGAGTTAGTGCATGCAATTGAGGGAGAGCGGGAGGAGCTCTTCAATCCAGGTAAGACACATCATTGTATTTATTTAGCGGAAAGTTGCAAAAAAATTTATATTTATATTTTTATTTTTTATTATAATGGATTTCCACAAAGTAACGCCTGATTCTATCAATTAATTGTAAATAAGACGAAAAGAAGAAAGAAAAGACAGGGTAAAATTATGTTCCATGGGTAAAATAATTTCCACGTGAAAAAAAACCAGTTAATTTATTTGGCAAGCTATCATGAAATCTAAAAATAAAACTTAAATAGTACTTGATTTGATATTATGTGTTGTATCTATATCATAACATACCAACATACTCTTCAACATTTTTAGATCAACAACATAGAATGAACATCGAAAGGAGATGTAAAATGTTTTTAAGATTATACGATTACTTTTTAATAAATAAAAGAAAACTACGCAGGAATAAAATATAGTTAAAATGTAAGAGATGAAAATTACACTGGAAACAAAAGGCTAGAATATAGAGATTTTGCGCATTCAATCGATCGTTGCATTTTTGTGTTTCTATCGAAAATACCACGGGGAATGCTTAGAGGAAATGTTCGGAATAATTCCAACTACTGAACTTCACCATCTCACACTGCGACAGAATCACAGAACACGACATTCTATCCTCATCTTCTCGATGGTTGGCGGTCTCGGTAGTGTAATATTTACACAAATTTTCTGCCACCTGTTTCATTTAAACTTGTTTAATGATTTTTTTTACATTTTCTGGGATTTTGTTTAAATAATGCCCCATAAATGAATTACAATTCTAGTAACTGGTATTACAAGCTTATGTTTGTTCCTAGTGTTTAAAGTATGAACATCTTTATTGATATGAAAGCTGTTTATGTTTTTATGTGCATACATTACATTTTCATAAATATATTGCGATGCCAAAGTTAATATGTTTATTTCTTTCAATTTTTCTCCAAGGGACTCTTTACAATTTAAGTTATAAATCGCCCGTACGGCTCTCTTTTGGAAAACAAATATGACTTCAATGTCAGTCGCATTACACCACAGTAAGGTTCCATAAGACATAACGCTATGAAAGTAACTAAAATAAACTAATCTAGCTATCTCACCATTGGTTAGACTTCTAATCTTTCTTACAGCATATGCTGCAGAACTAAGTCTACCTGCCAATTTAGATATATGGATTTAGATATATACATTGAAGCTTAGCGTCAATAGTAATACCAAGAAAAACAGTGGTATCCACAGGACTCAACTCTTACCCATTTAAGAGCACATTGTTATTTGAATGTTTAACATTAGATATTGTAAATTTAATACATTTTGTCTTATTGCCATTTAAGAGCAAATTATTAGCGTTAAACCAATGTACTAGTTTCGATAGAGCATTATTTACATTGTCATAATTAATTGACTGTCGATTGAGTTCGAAAATTAATGAGGTATCATCAGCCAATAATATTATATGGTGATTGTCCCCTACAAAATAAGGTAAGTCATTAATATAGACTAAGAACAGGAATGGGCCAAGAATCGAGCCCTGAGGAACGCCCATTGATACTATTGACCCGGAGGAACCTTTACCATTGATAATGACTTTTTGAGTCCTGTTACTTACGTATGAAATAATAAGTATAAAACGAAGACTGCCTCGCTGGTCTAGTGGTTGTAGTAGTGCGACTGCTGGTCATGAGGTCTTGGGTTCGAATCCCGGGTCGGGCTTAAAAATCAATTATTGAGTTTTTCAGTCAAACAAATCTCAGTAGCTGCCCGGAGTCAAGAAGCTGGCGGTGTCTCACCCCCGTGCCTCGGAAAGCACGTAAAGCCGTTGGTCCTGTGCCTGATCTCTCTTCGGTCGTGTCGGTTTATCGTCCCATCGGATTATGAGAGTGAGGGAATAGAGAGTGCACGTGTGCTTGCGCATACATTTGGGCATTATAAGCCTGTCCTGCGCCGATGGCTAGTCTCCGTTGAGGCTGGTTGCTGTGACCGAAATTCGATCTGGAGGACATCAGTAAGTCTAAGTGCAATATTTCTGACACCGTAATGTTGTAGTTTCCTGATTAATATCTCATGGTGAACACAATCGAAATCCTTGGAAAGATCACAAAAATACTTAAGGCATCTAGTGAACTCTCCCAGGCATTAAAAATATATTTCATAAGCTCAACACCTGCGTCAGTCGTCAAATTAATTTTTATGGAGTAATTTATTTTTATTAAAAAAAAATTAAAAATTTTACTGGGAATTGGTAGTACAAAAATAGGTCTAAAATTAGCAGGGTCCAAGGTACTACTAGATTAAATTAAAGGTATTACTTTACTATATTTCATTAAATCAGAAAACACACCAGATTCGATACTAGTATTAAAAATAATAGCAAGGGGAGGTGCAATTAAATCTATTATGGACGCAAGAACTGTAAAAGAAATCCCCCATAAATACCTGCGGTTTTCTTTACATTTCAAATCTAAATTCTTTTAAATTATTAAGATTCTGTTTAAGTAATTAATCGGCGACAGTTGGAGAACTGTTCAATGACTTTGTTGTCAAAATAGGAATTTCAGTGAAATATTTTTCAAACACCGCTGCGTACGACTTCTTGATTTGATCTAGTCAATTCATTATTAATTTTCAATTGATAATTTGTGTAACGAGGTTTGTCTTTACCGGTTTCGCTATTGATTATACTCCACGTCATTTTAATTTTATTTTTAGCGGTCTTAATTTTACTGCTAATATGTAAAGATTTGGCCGTGGAGCACACTCTTTTAAACATTTTAGAATAATTTTTGACATATTCTCGAAAATTATCGTAGAGAGATTATATGATCTTTCATAGTAAAGTTCAGATAATCTTCATCTGCTCTTATGAATTCCTACTGTCGCCCACTCATTAAATGCCTTGCGACTGTTACTGGAGAATGTTTTAAAAGTAAAGGTTTTATTAAATTCATTGCTTACAAGGGTAAATAATACTCCATATAAATAGTCTGAAAAGCGATTGAAGGTTTTTTTATCATACTAGGTACTTCTAAATCTCTCCACGCGTTTTGTATTAATCGGAACAAACAATTTTTTTTCAATTTTCTGTTTTTTGTGCATATATATGCTAATGAAACAACATGGGTAACAAGTATAAAAAGTAAGCAGAATATTAATTTGCGAATTCATTTAAGTCTCATGAATTCATTTACATACGGTAAATGGCCGTAACAGTTACCATTTCATGTTAACAATATAAACTGGTCTGTACCACTTTTCTAAAAAAGAATGAATCACCAGCACATACTCGATGTTTGATTACAGAACAAGGAATCGCAAAGGCGATTCAGTGTTCTATGACGTATAAATTTTATTTTAGTCTAAAGATATACGAGTATGGTTGCGGATGTCTATGATTTTTTCTGCGTCGATATGTTTGTAGGTGATAGATACCTCGGAAATTTGGTGGTTTTCTATTAAACATATTTTTTAAAGTTTTATAGATTACAAATCAAAATTTTGGTATATGATTTTTAACTATATGACCTTGGATTGCATAACAGGAAAACACGATATCATGTAATTTTCTCGATAGAAAAAAAAATTGCAAAGTAGACTCTAATTATTGACATTTCTCGATGACACCACAATATTATTACGAATAATTTCATGGAATTATTTTTAAGGCATAGTAAATAATCATATCTAAGTTCTCATAAACCACTTTTTTAATCAATAACGCAGTTTTGTTAAAATAAATAAAAATATTGTTTGGCGCTGACTTAGTTTTTTTCCGAGCGCCTGCTCGGATCTCATAATTTGCGTACTATGAAGTCATTGCATCACTTTCATTTTGACACTCCCGCAGTCGTCCGTTAGCTTCACCGACAAAAGAATAAGCCACGCCCCCAAAACTTTGATTCATTTTCAAGGTATCCTCTTCAGTAGCTTTTTAAAAGAAGAACATTAGCAATTGTGTTTTAAACAACACAATAATAAAGATGTAACTTACCAACGTTTTCATAAGCGCGGACAATTCCTTGGTAACAACGGCAAACTTGAAGAACGCAGCGCCAATGTCAGGCTCCGAGTCCTTGCTGAGTGCGTTGCCACCGAGCCGCTCCAGCGCCCTCGATAGGTACATCTCGTTGTCCACGTGAGCTAGCAACAAGCAATAAAATATGATCATTAATTTATCAGTTTAGGTTATAAGTCTATTGTAACGTACATTAACATCATACACTTTATTACATATATAACCGAGGTTTCATATGGTAAAGGTATGAGAGGACAATATACGTCTATTGTCCAGAGGTACATATATAAAACCTATACTGTACTGTATTTGAAAGAAATTATTTACGGACGGAGGAGGAGGGCGGAGTGCAGAGTTGGCACGTGAAATGTTAGAGGGGGCATGAGAGATAAGACGAATGAGTTGATCGAAATAATGAAAGAAAGAGAATTAGATGTCGTGTGTATGTCGGAGACCAAACGGAAAGGCAGTGGTACTGAAGAGCTCCCTGGCGGGATGTTAGCTATATGGTCCGGAGTCCCGGAAAGCGAGAACGCCTGCCAGGGAGTGGGAGTGCTGTTGTCGTCCCGATTGGTCGATCTTATGACTGAATACAAGATTGTGAACTCAAGACTTCTCTGGGTTCGCTTCAAAATGGGACTGACGAAGTTATTCCTTTTGGCTGTTTATGCGCCGGTAGCTTCGTCGTCCAGGGCTGAGCTGGAGGAGTTTTGGGAGAATGTAAGAGAAGTTCTAGATTTGGTTAAGGGAAACGAAAGAACTGTTGTATGTGGTGATTTGAATGGATGGGTAGGTATCGCTCGACCAGGATACGAGTCGGTGCTTGGAAAGTTTGGCGATAAAAGGGTTAATGATGCTGGCAAGCTTATACTGGCTGTATGCAAGGAAAAGGGTCTTCTTGTGACAAACACTATGTTTAATCACAGGAAAATCCATATGTACACTAGAGAAAGAAAGAATGAGAGAAGTATGATTGATTTGTTCCTGGTGGATGACCGACTCCGAAAACAGGTGATGGATACACGAGTGTTCAGGGGTGCTGACCTGGGAACGGATCATTATCTAGTAATTACTAGATTTAGAGGTTTGTTCGCGGGTTGGCGCTACCGGACGGCAGTAACAGAACCACAGTCGGTCTGTCGCATCCGAAGCTGGAAGCTTCAGGAAGCGGATACTAGGGACAAATATCACACGAGGGTAGCCGAAAAGCTTGACACCATCGATGGCAGGAAAGAATGTGTGGAGAGAACATGGCAGAACCTTAGGGATGGAATGGTAAGTGCAGCGGAAGAAGTATGTGGTACGACAAAAAGAGGTAGTAGTAAAAAGGAGATGCATGGTGGAATGATGAAGTGAGAGAAGCTGTAAAAAAAGAAGAAAAAAGCATGGTTAGACTACTTGGCCTCTAGTAACGATGAGCATATGAGAGAGAAGATGAAAGAAAGATATAAGCTGCATAAAGTTCATGCGAAAACATTGATTGAGGAAGTACGTGAAAGGTGTAGAATAGAAGCGGACGAGAGGTTGTCGCACAACTTTAGGGAAAACTCCAAACTCTTCTGGAAAGAGGTTGGAAGGTCCCGGAGTGGTGCGACAGCCTTAAGAATGAACAAAGTGCTTTCGAGAACCAATGACGTCCTCTCAGAAAAATCGGACGTCATGCAGCGATGGAGTGAATTTTATAGAGAAATGTATGCGTGTCATGATCTTAGTGAAGGATCCGGGGGTGACGCCGTGACTGGCACGCCAGACACGGACCTCGATGACACTGAGGTCATCAGCATGAAAGAGATTGAACGTACGATTCGAAGTTTGAAATGTGGTAAGGCTGTGGGACTAGACAGAGTTACTGCTGAAATGGTCAAGTACGGTGGGCCTCGCGTCTGGGACAGCTTCCATCTGCTGTGCAATTTGTGCTGGCGGACGGGAGATGTCCCGGATGATTGGAGATCCGCGGTCATTGTGCCTTTATATAAAGGTAAAGGTTCACATTTTGACTGCGGGTGCTATCGGGCGATCAGATTGACCAGTTTAGCAAGTAAAGTTTACTCGAAGGTTTTGACACGTAGGATGCAAGAGAAATCGGAAAGATTCTTATGGGAGGCACAATGCGGATTTAGACCTGGAAGAGGATGCACGGATCAAATGTTTTCTCTCCGCATGATCACGGAGAAGCTTCTGAGTGTTAACCAGAAGATTTTCTGTGCTTTTGTGGATCTGGAGAAAGCATTTGATAAGGTTATAAGGAAGAAAATGTGGGAACTGTTGCCGGGATATTGTGTGGATGGTCGATTGTTAAGGGCTGTGCAGTCACTTTACTATGACTGTAAAGCCTGTGTGCGGGTAGGGCATGACCTGTCACATGTTTAGTGTCCAAGCGGGCGTAAAACAGGGTTGTGTCATGTCTTCCTGGCTGTTCATACTGTATCTCGACAGCTGTTTACAGAAGCTGAAAAATAGCTGTTTGGGTGTGAAATTGGGTGACATAAAAGTTAATTGTCTGCTGTATGCTGATGATGCAGTGCTTATTGCACCATCAGAAGCAGAACTGCAGGCATCAGTCACGTGTATGAAAGAGGAATGTGAAATTAAAGGTCTCCGTTTGAATGCTAATAAAACTAAGGTTCTGGTATTTGAAAAGGATGAAGAGAGAACGAAATGTGAAATATGGGTAAATCAGGAATGTCTAGAACAGGTAAATGAAATCGTATACTTGGGGAGTGCTTTCAGCCGGGATGGAAGATGTGATTTAGATGTGGATAGGCGTGTCGCTGCCGGAAACAAAGTCAATGGTGCCCTGAATGCATTAGTAAAAAGGCAAGGCGTGGTGAAGAATGCACGCCTTGCAATACATAATGCAGTGTTGGTACCGACTTTGTTATATGGCAGCGAAACCTGGGTATGCCAGAAGAAGCATAAAAGCAAGTTGAATGCAGTGGAGATGCGATCTCTTCGTAAAATGTGTGGCGTTACCTTAGCCGACCGAAAGCGAAACGAAGAGATTCGCAATATGGCAAGATTGAAAGATGACCTTATCACAAAAATTGATAGGGGCGTACTCCAATGGTTTGGGCACGTTGAACGAATGAGTGAAGACCGAATGGTGAAGAAAATATATAGAGCGAAAGTAAATATTAAAAGGTGTCGAGGTAGACCGAGACTAACTTTCGAAGACCATGTGAGCAAATTGCTCGAAGATGGGAGGGTCAAGAGTACTCGGATACCTAGACGTGCATGTATGAAGAAGTTAATGAACCTGAAGGAAGCGAAAGAGGTATGTAAGGATCGTGACACTTGGCGATCTGTTCTCTCTGGCTACCCCGTTAGGGATTGTGCGTGAGATAAGTAAGTAAGTAAGTAAATTATTTACGCTTGTTATGTCATCAGTACAAATGAAAACTGTCGGATTAAACCTCTCGAAAAACAGGCAGAAATGCTAAAGCATTAAGGGAACAGCCGCTCCAGCTCCTCGCACGTCGACGTTCCACTAGATACGTAACGGCTTTGTAAGTTAAATCATAGATACCGGTAGCTCAGAGTCGTGCTTTGTGAAAGGTAGGTTTAAAAGTGGACCCGTAATGTGTTGTAGTAATGAAGATGATATAGTCATCAAGTTTGTCATTTTATACGACATAGTGACATTGTTTTCTTTTCCCAAAACAAGGCTTCACGAACTTTTTCAGCTCGCGGCGCACTTACAGGCTTAGTATTGTATTTTGGCGCCCTAGCTAGTCGAAATAGGGTACAATAGCCTAGGTAGAGTTTTTATATTTATACTGACACACAGAAATACATTGCTTATTTAAGAAAAATATAATCTAAACCTAAAATGCCTCCACTAGATAGACCTGATAAAAAATGCACGAAGTCGATGGAAGTAGGTGGCTCAGGACAGTGCGTTGTGGCTGTGGCATTCCTCGCAGCAGGCCCATGTTGAGACATTTGTAGCGAGCTCAATGATGATTATGACGCTGACGATAATGCTGGAGATGATGATGATAATGATGATTTATATTAACAAAGTCTTCAAGGGTGGGGGGGGGGGGGGGCGGCACTCAAAAAAAAAAAATACTGCTGTTTGGGGCACCTTTTTAAGGTTCTCTGGGTAGATTGTTTTTTCAGGGGTGGGTTGTTTTTTTTCCTAAAAAAAAAAACACTTTCAACTTTTTAATAAAAACGATTTGGTTTCTGCATTCATGGGTAGAAAACTACTAAGTACTATTATTTATTGTGACAGAATTTATGTACTTCCCTAAGATATCTAAAAAAAATTATCCCGAATGCGTTTCTACATCGATTAAACTTAGTTGTTTGTGCGCGCCTGCGAATATATCAAACAAAAAAAGAATATTTTGTTTGTTTGTTATTTTTATATATGGTTTTGTACAATTCATTCTCATACTATTTTTTATTCCAAATGTACCGGTCAACGTCCCAATATTTATGGCACCCCTTTTGTTCTTCACATTGAACTTTAAAACAACCTTTATATTTTTTTATTCTTACCCATAGTATAAAAAGAATCGTATAATGGATTTTTTGTATATCAATGGTATAATGGTACAACCACAGTATCCTGTATAGTTACTAATTGAAAAATAACTCAATAATTGTCTCCTATTTGTGCTGGATGGTATTTTTGGTACCACTTGTCATAGCTTCATTGATTGGCATTGTAGTTTCAGCGTAAGAGAATCCACTATTTAATCATTCATAATAAAAAAATCACACCTAGCAAGCGTGGCAACTATTAAAATACCCCTCCTATGAGGCAATCCAAGGGGAAGGCTAAGGGCCGATATCATTATAATGCCGTTCACAGTTCGTTCTCGGTCCGATCTCGGTCTAATAAAATATTATCAAGTAAAAAATATGTGTGTGCAATGTGCATTCATACTATCCAGTGGCAGTCAAGTTTCGGTCGAATTCCATTCCATTATAATAAATCAGACCGCGATCGGACCGGGATCGGACCGCGAACGAACTGTGAACGGCAAATGAGGATCGGCCCTTGATGTTCAGCAGTTTAATCGGCTGTAACCATGACGATGATGATATGGTCTTGGAATATATTTAACATATTTTCTGGGACCTTGCTCACCCACGTATAAAAATGAAGCGGAAA